ACTAGTACAGGCCTGGCAAACAGAACCGGGATGGGGAGAGGAGAGAGAGAAGGAGAACTGAAGAGAGAGGGGGGCTGCAGGGGGCACAGCAGGTCCCTCGGCCCTGGCATCAGCAAGTCCAGGCGGGCCAGGGGTGGGAGGGGATGGAGTCACTCCCAGGGGCACCCACCCTCTCTTCTCTCCCCCCCTTCCTCCTCCTCCTCACAGCTGCTCAGTTGTTGTCCGACTCATCCTCAGCTTCCCGGAGCCAGGTGAAAAAGGCCGTCACCGATTTGAGAGCCACCCCTTTGCCCTGCTGCTCGGCTGGGTCCTTGCTAGACTCCCACTTGTAGAAAGCCTCCTCCTTGATGACGTCCTCATCGTAGAGGGCATCAAAGAACATCCGCAACAGGTCTGTGGGGGGACAAAAGGGGGCCCCTGCCATTCCCCAGCCACCAGCCAGCCTGCTGGGGTGAGGATGCGCCTGCCACCCCCCTCCTCAGCCCACGCGTCCCACAAAACTCACTGGGAGGCTGGTCCAACTTCACCACCAAGGCTTGCAGGGCGTAGAGTGCCTGGAGCTCCTTCTGCTCGTCCCGCAGGTACTTCTGCAGCAGCTTGGCTTGGTTGCGGATGACCAGGGCATCCACACGGTAGGGGTTCTCGACTACGGGAGACATGCGCCTGCCACCCCCCTCCTCAGCCCACGCGTCCCACAAAACTCACTGGGAGGCTGGTCCAACTTCACCACCAAGGCTTGCAGGGCGTAGAGTGCCTGGAGCTCCTTCTGCTCGTCCCGCAGGTACTTCTGCAGCAGCTTGGCTTGGTTGCGGATGACCAGGGCATCCACACGGTAGGGGTTCTCGACTACGGGAGACAGAGTGTGAGAAGGGAGCGGCATAGGTAGGGGGTTCCCCCCGCCTCGCCATCTGCTACTCACAGACGATGGCTGAGTGGCACACGGACGTCATCAGGGCCCTGATAAATGTGTTGGACGAGACCTGCTGCTCACTCAGGTTGGCCTGGAGGAGGGAGGGTAGAGGGGCTGTGAGGTGGTGAGGGAGCCAGGAGGGGGACCCCAGACCCACGGGCGCTGCACCCACACCCTCACCTCGATCCAGTCATGTATTCTTTGGTTGTTCGGGTTCTCCTTCAGCAGTTTGTCCATTTGCTTGCACAGCTCCTCTGAGGTCAGCTCCTTGCGGCTCGGCGGGTCACGGCTGTCCCACAGCCTTGCATGTAACT